AAATTTACCTTTAGAGAGCACTGAAAGCAAGTTCATCACCATGCTTCTGGCCCCTGCACTCAGAGGAGCTCAGCGCTTTGGTGACACCAGCCCACACTACAGCCTGTGTCAAATGTTTAAGTTACCCATTGCTTTGGGATACACAGCAAACAGATAATAATAATGTTAAGGTCTCAAATACCACCATCTTCCACTGCTCTCAGTCAGCTATTAACTGCACACCTGAAACCTTTAACCCAGTGTATTTATCTTGTGAACTGAATGACAAAGTTTGTTAGTTCACAGAAATAAGTTTATTAATGATTTCTTGCTGGAATTACTGACAGTATTCCTGAGCAACTGCTCTACAAAAGGAAAAGTAATTCACAACATGGGCTAAAGGTCTATAGCCTGTATGCAGAAATCCTCCCAGGGTCTGCCACTGCACACCGAAAATCCACATTTCTCATTATTTCTCTGCTTGCTCTTTCTCATCACCTATGCATCTCGCCAGGTTAATGCCCCACCATCTCTGGAAAGACTGAAGGCCATGACCAACACTGACCAAATTCCCATCTTGCTGACGCCATGAGCGATTTTTCATTTTTACCCTCAGGAGGATGGCCAAGCAGGCAGACAATTCTTTAGAAAAGTCCTGTCTTGTACTCTTGAAGTCTGAAAAGAAGCAGTACTGTCTCCAGCAAATGCAGAGGCAGCACAGCTCATGCAGTCCTAAACCACACTGCTTTCAGAACTTCCCAGCCCTCTGCTGGGAATCGCTGTGATTTATCATCCATACTGTAAGAACAAGATGCATGAAACAACCCCACTTAAAAACCCAAGGAGATGGGGTAACTTTCAGCAGGGATAGCAGTGATGTACCCCACAGTCTCACAAGTGATGGCAGCAGAACACCTGAACTGCAGCCGGGTGTGCCCCAGCCCTGGTCCCATCCTTCACTCCAGCACTGAGGGCCCCAGCGCTTGTCTGACCCTGCAGTGAACTGATTCAGCTCACTAAATTGGTTGAACACTAACAAGGGAGAAGGAGCTAATCAGCTCCCAGGGTAATATGAGCACCAGCGGTGAAGAGAGGGAGGGGACAAGCTGCAGACTGAGGGAGCAGCAAATTGCAGCGTTCCTCTGGATGGAAATGAACGGTCACAGAACTCTTAATCCATCTTCACCTCTGAGATTGCAGAACTCACCCTGCACAGCTGCCTGCCTCCTTGTGCCAGGTGAAGCCACACACTCTGTTGTCACGATAGCGAGATGGCATATGGGTACATTCACATCAGGTTAAAATCATAAATGAAATCAAGATGGAGAACACAACCTGCAAAAAGACTGTCCATGTATATCCTTGCACTGGAACGCCAGGAGATGTGAACAGTCCCAGCCATAACCCATTTGGAGGTGTGGTGCTTAGCAGCCCAAAGCTCTGCCCCACAGCCCTCTCCAGCCCCACTCCCCATCGCACAGCCTGCCCCCTCTGTTCTGCTGGTGCCAGCACCCACCAGCCCGTTGCTCAGCACAGTCCAGCTCCTCACTGCAAGAAAACCCACGCTCCATTTCCCCCCCACACCCTGGCTTTGTGCAGGTGCAGTGCCTTGGACCTGCTCACCAGAACAGCACAAGGGAAGTGGAGGGCTGTGCAACCAGACACAGGGAGGAAAGGGAACCCTCCAGTTTCACGGTGCCACAGAATAACTGAGGTGTAAAGGGACCTCTGGAGGTCACCCAGTCCAGTGAGAGTGAATCACTGCCTTGGCTCAGCCATAGCATTGAGGCAAGCAGGGAAAGCAGCCAGCAGCCTTCTGGCTCTGTCATCAGAAACTCAATTCTCACAGTTTTCCAATGACAGTTTTAATTTTTTTTAATGGAATACGAATGTTGTTGCAAAAATTATTCCTTTTTGTACCCTTAAGGAATAAAATGAAACGCTCTTCCTGGAAAACACAATTAGCAGCTAAATCCCTGACTATAACCCTCTAAGTAAAGGCAGAATACTCCAAGGAACAGCAAAACAATGCAGCGAATATTTTTGCAGCAGGAAGAGTTTGGAGATGTTTGTTTACCATACAGTTTGTTCCTACTTCACAGATCCTAAAGAACCCATACAAAGAACTCTGATTATTAATAGAGTCAGACAACTCAAAATGGTATTTCTAACCTGTTTATAAATGGTCTGAAGGAAATTACAAATACATAAAAAACAAAACCAAGTTTACAGTAAAAGGGCAGGGAGCTAAATTTGTTCTTCCAGTAAGCAATATGTTATATGAAACTGAGCTGAGTACATCTGCCATCATCTTACCTGGAAAAAATCAAAGTGGGGAGAGGAGGAAAGATTTGTAGTTTGCCAGTGTTCTGGAAGAGCAAAACAAAAAGGAAAAGCTCCTATAGTGTACAAACCTACATATGGATAAGTAGTTTAAGCAACACATGCAATGATTTTCACAGCATGCCTTGAAAAGATTCGTTAATGTCTTTGGAAATGTGGGAAAGTAATTTATAACACCAAATAAAAAAGTAACAGAGGGCCCAATCCTGTCACCACTGACTCAATCTGGGCAGAGCTGTGCTTTCGGGACCTTCCGGCAGACTTAAAACATTTTTCAACAGCCCAGTTCAGATATTAGCAAGCCCCAGCCTGGCTGGCTCCCACCACATCCCTACTCGCTATTTTATTTCCCTTTCCTCTCCCTCCCTCTGCTTTATTAAAATTTAAAACAAAAATATTTTTTATGTTCTGAGCATTTGTATATTTGGAAACAGTGCCTGCCTTTTCTCCATCTGACAGCTCTGAGCACTGCTGGCCCTTAGCAGCCTGCAAATCAAGAGAGGCACAGCAGCCCACCTCGGCGGCATCGCCCACGCCACCACAGCCCTGGGAACTTCTGGTTCTCTGTATAACACTGCCATGAAATCCCCCATCTCCCACAGAATCAGGGGGAATTCCCAGAGAGCAAAAGGAATTCATTTTTCAGAGCCCTTTGCGATCGGAAAGAAATATTTTCCCCTTGCCACAGTAAGAAAAATGATGAAGATGGGCCGTGGATGGAGAGGCTGTGGTAGGAGACCAACAGCATGCTCAGAACATGGCACATTTTACAATGTGATCCTGCACTAAGGAAAGCCACCTTCCTTCTCATTCCTACCAGCAGTGCGGGCCAGAGTGGCTGCTGGAAACACCAAGTCTCTGCATGTGGCACATAAGTTTCCATCAGTACCCTGCAGAGCTGTTGCACTTTCAGAACACGCTGCTGATTGGACTGAAGTTCTAATGCATGTTATTTAAAAAGAAAGGAAAAAGAAAAACAAGCAAATGAAGCACTCAGTCATTTATAAATGACTCTGCGTCATGTGCTCTCCCACAAAGTCAGCAATGTGGGGCATGTCTGTTGATATCCTCTCTGGATTCCATGTGGAAGGACAGAGCCAGTGATCACAGTGTCTGCCCCAGCCCTGACTTCCATTCCTCTCTCCAGATACAGGAGATACACGACCTGAAGTCCTCAGTGAAGAAATCCAGGACCTCTTGTGAAGCTTCCATTGAGACAACCAAGCAGTACACACCACCCAGCTGAACAATATCAGTCAGAGCATCTCCCAGGCTTTGAAACTATATGGCCAGCAAGCATGCAGCCTCCATAGCAGACCTACATGGGCAACAAGTTTCTAGCTATCATATGAGACCTCTAGCTTCAGAAGAGGTCCCCCTGCTTTTAACTTTCCTCCTCCACGGTGTGCTTTGGTTCTGATCTAAATGCAGTGTTGACTTCCAACTTCACCTCTATTGCAAGTGCTTCTATCAGAGCCTGGGAGTTCTTCTCCACATTTTTGGGCAGTTCATCAAAGCAGCGCAGCCAGCTACATCTGCACATATTACCCACAAAGAGTAAAACTTTCTCTGTTCAGTTGCTGGAACAATATAGTACAAAAGCTCCACCAGGACTTCAGTAGGAAAGTTTATTTCTTGTGCTTTTTATTACCTTGCTGCTATTTCCTAGCCATAAGTTGGAAATGTTAAATTATAAAAAACCCAATATTAACCAACCAATTGAATTGCCAGTTCTAATTTCGGACAGAAATATAGACAAAGAAATAATCAAAGACTTACCAAAAAAGCAGATGGCTGCAGAGCACTTCTGGCAGTCATGCTACTCGCACATGGGACCACTTGAGTTTAACAAATCGGACAACAGAGAGAGTGCTGAAATGGAAATTGGGGCTCTACTCCATTCAAATTCTTCAAAATGTTTGTTTTGGATTTGTACCTCTACTGCAATTTACAACTCTAGATTAGATATAGCAAGAGTAATATTCTTGACTAGAAGAAAAACAGAGTGTTAAGCCATTTGCCAAATCACACAGATCGCCTCCCTGTATACAAGTAACATTGATGGATAAATGTTTTCCTAAATAAAACCAAGCGATGAAGGTGTTTTTACTAACACAGCAATACAGTCTACCAGCAGTTGGAGGACAAGACATTTTCCTGATTCAAACTGAAAGACATCTTCAAACAAGTCCCTTATCCGCTCACAAACATGTGCAAGTTCCATCAGCATGAAAAGGAAAACCACAGAAACTTGAGATTTCGCGGGAATCTCCACACAGCACAGACAAGATACTGACACCTCCCACTGGAAGCAAGTTTACATCCCAAATCTGCTTGCTCTAAAGGTATCCCCTTCAATGCTAACGAACGAAAGTCCTTTCTAACATTTGCCACTTTTGAGGCATGGTCAATCAGGCAGGGCAAATTACTGAAACACTGTAATACTGATGCAAGGACGCACGGGTAGCAGATGACGCATGAAAAAGGGGCAAAAAGACTAATTCCACCAGTCCTGCTGTAAGAAATCAGTTGCCATAAGTGTTTAACAGAAAAACATGAAGGCTTGTGTCACAAAGATGCCAGTTGCAGCTTAATGTCAATGCACGTCCAACTATGACATCACCTACCACAACCAAAAATTAAGACGAAAGTTCTGCTGGTCTCAAGGACTCACTCACCAGGGAGCCGGTGGTTTTATATGCACGCCTTCCTGAAGAATCCAAAAATAACATTTTTCCATAGAGCAGAAATTCTTGTAGTGTTCACGCTTTTCGTTTCGGTCATGTTGCAATCCAAAGTGCCAGCCCTCTGTAATGAGGTAATCCAACAATGTAATTTGTAGTATTTTATCCTGTCAAAATTGATCTTAGTATTTCTATAGCAACTAGATCAAAACAAAAGATGAGGCAGACAGAATAACTCTCCCCCTGCCACCACCCAGAATTTTATATAAATATGTGTGTATATATAGAAAGCATTACATATATGAAGTTAACATTCATGATTCATCATTAAACAGCACTAGAAAAACAGCACTGGAGAAACAGCAGCACAGTAGGATGACATTTGCTAGCATTTTTTTTTTCAAATGTGCAAACCGGCATGAATATAGAATGAAGAAGTAATTGTTAACTACCAAACACCCATCAATAGAGCATGTCTTTCCTGCTAGACCCAGTTAGGGAAAGGTATTATCCATTCCCAGGTGGGATGGATGGAAAGGAGTACTGGTTTTTACTGCTGCCATGAGGTAAAGAACATAATATCTTTTCCTCAGAGAAAATGACGTTGTAACAATTACCATCACAAATTGATGTTTAAGAGCATTTGATTGCCATTTAACGATCTGAGCTTAGTTTTGGAATATTCTTGCAGGTGTCTGCCAGCTTATTTTGATGCCTTCGTAGGAGCTGAGCTGAGTCCAGACTCTGTCATTTCAAAACACCTCAAAAAACCTTGCATTTGGAGCTCAATCCTGTTCCCAATCGACTAACATGATTAATAGCCCCTTCCTTTTGAAATGAAGATTGGCCTTTTATAATGGTGAGCTAAAAAGTTTGGTCCTCCTACAGAACAACTTCTCCTTACCATCTGAGTAGCTTCTGAACACTGGTTAGGAGATTCTGTTGCATGCTGAGCACAGATTGCCAAACACACACAAACTCCACATGTAGGCATGCAAATCCCATATAGTTCCTGACTTTGGCTCTAAAGTGAGGCTGAACTTCTCCTAGCACGTGAGAGATACCTGCCTATAGAGACCTGCACAGTGTCCAAGAACAATTTTCTGTATCCCGCATGGTGTCACTTACAGCCCTGGTATAAGAACACACAACAGTTTCAGACAGATTCCTAAAATGGCTGGGAGGGAAATTCTGAGAAATTGTCAGCTGGAAAGAGGGTGATAAACTCACTGTCACTGGGCTCTATCTCTGCAGGTCCAACCAATTTTTTGCTGCAGGCTGCCACCTGTGGAGGGCATCACGTTCCAAGGCACACCACAACAGCTATGGCAAGTGCCTGCAGCCGGAAGGCAATTTGTCTTCTTGGCCAACTGCCACTCCTTAAGAAAAAGTGAGAAGGTTAAGTCAGACAAATACTGGCCATAAAATAAATAAATAAATAAAACAAAAACCTGCTGGTAAAAGCAAGACACCTCTTCGATACGAAGCTCTCTTTCTAGAAAACAGAATTTTGCCAGAATTTAGAGAAGGGGATATGATAGACAAGAAATTGTCCATGAATATACGAAAAAAAATATGTGTGTGCATAATTTGAAGGAGAGGAATGTTTCCACAGATTATTCTCACTCCTCAAATTAAACACACTCAAGCTTTTCACCTCCTAAAGCCCTGACCTTGTGAAGCGCTCTTCCACTTGATGGCAATTCTCTTGAGTAATGACAGAAAAGAATTCAATTGTGGCAGAAGCTGTGCTATGTATTCCTGTTTCATTCACAGAGGTTTCTGTAATAATGTCTGTCCATACATGGCCTTGTAGTAGCGGCATTTCAAAGCTTATCTTACAGCTGACAGAGACCCTGGCGTGCCTTCAGATGAACATACTTATAGAAATGTATTCAGCAAACTGTTCTTTTTTTAACCTCAGAAATAACTGCCATGCTGGTACAGCAGGAGTTGCAAAATGCTCATTTAAGCAGTAGTGTTTAAGAAGCATAAAAATGAATGAAACTGTGGATTTCTTCCTAATTATCACCAGCTCCTGCCTGCCAGAGATGTACCTTTTCTACACCAAACCCCTCATTACCCCTTCCTCCAATAAATGCAATCAACATTGAACCAAAAAGTTCCCGTCTGCATCCAGTTTACAGGCTCCACCATCCTGCCCTTTGAAATGGAATCTTGTATGAGGCGCGTTAGGAAAACTGAAGGAAATTGGAGAGAAAGAAAAAGAGATTTAAAAATAAAAGCAGTATTTATGTCTCCCAAATGGGAAGTTCAGAGCAGCGAGGGCAGGAAGCGGACGGGTATTTAAGCTGATTACCCAAGCAAAGCCCTCTGCCTTTTCAGCAGTGCCACGGTCCCTCGGTAAAACCATTTAAATTAATTAGAGTTCCACGGAGGGGACGAGGGGATGGAAAAGATGTCAGGTTTTATCGGGAGTGTTAGTGATGGCTGGCTGCAGAGAGGCTCCCGTGCTGCTCATTGGGTCTGTGTGCTCCAACAGAGTGCTCTCACTGCCCCGTGGCTCCGTGCCTCCCCAGGGGAACGGCTCAGACCCGCGGCCATTCACCCCAACATACACAGCGTGCGGGCAGTGACCAATTAAGTACCAGGGTATTTCACGTTTGTACAGAAATTCACACAAATAAAAGCCTTCTGAGCCACGCTGGCCTTCTAGACATGGATCTTATTATGCTCTTTGCCTAATTACCAACTCAGTTTTTTTTTAAAACACGAGCACTGCTGCGCACAACCCCAGCGCAATGGCCTCAGGCAATGCTCCCACGTGCATCTGCATACATGGAGAAATCACATCTCCTCCTTCACACTTGCACATAACTGACTAGACAAATAATATTATCATAGGAGGAAGAGCCAGAATTAGAAGGGAAATACTGCAGCATTTAGATGTAATCTGGTGAGCATTAGATCATGATTCACTTTGACACAAAAGCTCAAGAGCACATTCAGCCGGGGAGAAACGCGTTGCAGCGTTTTAAACAAGAAGGAAATCATTCTAATGTTTCATGGGCTGCAATATTTGCTGTTGAAATCCTCATAATTGCCTGTGCTCCACACTTGCATTGTACCTAATGAATTGGTTTTAGATTTCAAAAAGCTTCAGCAAGATCTTATTTGCTTCTGACTCCCAACAAAGAGGAATGTTTTAGTAAGATGGAACAGAAAGCTGACAACAGTGACAACAAAAAGCCTTCAAACACCACATTATATTTATCCTCACTGCATTGCACAACAGGATTTCTAAATTGAGGATCTTTGGGTTTTAATGAATAATTTGTTGAACAGTAGAATACTCCAATACCCATTGCTTTTCATCACAGACAGCTACGAAAGTTGTTTTCCACCTCTGGTATCGCAGGGCACCCAGCTACAAGGGGACAGGGGCATCTTCTGGAGGTGAAGAAAACACTTTGCAGGTTTTATGGCAGTGTGTTATCTCAGGAGGGAGAAATGAAGGAACACACTCAGTCCAGGTTTCAGGAGCAGATACGGAGCAGTGCTTAAAGGCTTGTAACTGCTCCACTCTCGGGAAGTTTTGCTTTATCAAACAAAACCTGAATCAACGCGACGTTAATCAGAGGCTGGCTCAATGCAGTTTTACTGGCTTAGCCCAATCTTCTGCTTTCTTCTCCCCCACACCCACGAGACCCCATTGCTTCCCTCCTATCACCTCCTGCTTTTTGCTGGCCACAAGAAAGAATAAATCCTCGCCTCCTCCCCATCCATTCTCCATCACATCATCTGAAAAAAACACTGGATCTTTTCTGATGGTACCGCAGTGCTGCACTGCTTCAACACAATCCCCAAACTCCTGGCTCCAGACACACATTTTCATGGTACAAAACCACACTCAGCTGTACTTTCCAGCCAACCCTCTCCATCAGCAGTACCCAGTGGTCTCTCAACAGAACAGAACACATCCTTCAATCCTCATGCCACTCAGAAAAGGAACTGAGAAACATCTTTATGGTTTAGATCTGAGCCACAGTATGTGAAGCCAGAACCTGTCAAAGAGCACTGAGTTTCTGCTGGTCCGTTTCTGTCTTCCTCAATCCAATGCATACCAACAAAACTCCCATGTCCAGCTTTGCAGGGGTTTGTGCTTTGGACTTGTATTCATCTAAACACATTTCCTTTATATAGCAACTGGAATGAACGTATCTAGAAAGAAACCAGATCACATAAAACAAGCTGCTAACTCTTTCTCACATGTTCAAATACGATGCCAATTCCCAGAAGCTGCTGTGATTGAGTGAGCGCAGTTCTGTTATGAGCCCAAGTGAGGCTAGCGGGGCTCTCTAAGTATCTGCAATTTCAAGAGAGATAAATGTTATGTAAACATAAATTTTGCAACTTTATTATTGTATGTTATTTCATGCCAAGTTGCTCTTTACATAGAAAGCAAATACCATCACCAAATTTATTTCCAAAAAGCAAAATAAAGTTTATAGCTCTACTTGGCCTATAGTTTGTTTATAAACACAGGAGCTGACGGGCCTTAATACAATGGGAAGAGCAAAAAAAACCCCACAAAACTGTCTGCAAGCTGAATAGGAGCCAACAGTGCACTCTCAGCAAATAAGGCAAGGGGCACAATGGCCTTCATTGGGAGGAGCGGGGCCCTGAGGAAGAGATGGGGATCTAGCAATAGGCTGTCAAAAGCCTACAGCAAATCCCCCAGCTTGAATGGGAAGTTTAGTGACCACACAGCCCGACTGCTTGTTTGAGATGGCTGCCAGAACGACGGCAATATCACAAAACGCATCTCAGCAAGTTCAGATCAGATATTAGGGAAGTCCTTTTCAGAAGGGTGGTGCAGTCCCGGGATAGGTCACAGAGCAGCGGATCTCCGATCTTGGGGATGTTTCATGCTACACATGCATCTTGAGACAGAGCAGCATTTTTGGTGAGAAATTATCCTGCTGAGCAATTTTTGACCAGGTGTTGAAGGAACCACAGACATTTGGCACATAACAATCCAGCAAAGTTCTCAAAGCTGCTCTCTACCTTTTATTAAATACCAAAGTGCCCTTAAGAGCCTTATTATAAGCTACCAAACCCCTGCAGCTCCAGGCTCAGTATTCCCAAGATGTTTTGAGGTTTCACTCACATGCAAAACTTGCCCTGTATTCTGGTGGATGGTTCCAGAGTGCAGGGTCTGGCCACACAATTTGCATCACAAGAGCAAACTCCACATATTTGAAAAGATTATCAGTCAACTACAGTTCTTTCCACTGTAGAAACAGTTACTCAGTTAAGATAAACAAAGAAATTCCCATGAACTGAAAAGGAAAACCTATTAACTGATTAAACATGTGAATCAGTTGATAAACTGGTTATCAAAGTTCTGAAAACATTTTTAACAATGACCCTTCCTGCCATGGTTAACAATGACCCACAAAAGCTAGAATAATTCAGCACTTTGCAGGAAACCAACTGGACAGAAAACAGAATGCGCTTCAGATCTAAGAAGCAGCAGCTCTGCAGTGTGCACTGACACACTTAGATATTAATTATCAGTAAATTTGTGATAAACATTTTAGTCACCAATTAAAAACTTTGGACAATTCTTTTTGGCACACAGGAAAAATGAAGCATTATCCCCTCTGGCATGTACTTGTCATTCTATTCTTGTTTTGAGCTTTTCAAACAGCTATAAAAATACTCACAAAAGCATTTGTTTTTCTCATAACTGATTGTGCAATAGGACACACTAACACCTAGACTTCGTTTTATTGAAAAACCTCCATTTACTCTTCAGGACAGTTCAGAGAAGGCAAATCTCAGAGCTGCCAGAGCTGCCCTTGTCACACGGTCCAGATGGCTCCAGAAGAGCTCTGAGCAATTCAGCTGCCAGACTGGGATCCACTCAGGTTAACCAAACACATTACAGTTCCTTGGATGGAAAGTGTGGGCAGAACCAACTGTATTTACAGGAAATGACAGACATGAATTTTCCCAAGAAGTCACAGAAACACCCAAATCCAAGGCACTTTTCAGACCACTTCCCACAAATGCTTGATATCTATTCCCCACGTTGACTGCATTAGTGAGACAAAGCAGGTACTAAGCAAAAGAGACCCAAATCCTAATTCCTACTTCTGCATAACTTTGTGGTAAGTAAACTATAGCTTTCTTTTGCCTTTCATCATTGGAAAAGCCAGCCTGTCTAAGAAGCAATACTGCCTATCAGAGAAATCCCCAAATGCAAGATATTTCCACCAGGAGTAGAAACTGCATCACTGTGCAACGTTCTGACAGTTGGCCAATCTGTGATAGAAAACTTCTCTATCAACTATGCTCTGCTAAGAAGTCACAGCGAAAGACTGAAAGGTTCTACCAATTATTGAGGAGTACT